ACCCATAAATTACTGCATGCCCCCCCCCCTTCGAACGCATTTATAAATCTGGGTGTAAGTTTAATTTGTAACTTTAGATGGCGCTTCTCAAAGCGGTTGCCCATTTCCAACTAATTTCTCCATTTATCCGTTCATCCACGATGAAAGCTTCGAAACAATCTTTCTGAAGGCCTTGCTTCTAAATGGACTTGCTTCGGGAGAACCCTTGGTCCTTCAACAGGTTATAGAATTCTTTATGGATTTGGCCGAATCTGAATTACTATTTATTCCAATTTGCAAGGGAAATTTTTGTAATGTATGACCCCAAACCGCCATCCCGACTTCCTTCCGTCGCTGTCTCGACCATGCTCAATTCTTCAATGTAAATTAGCTTTAAACATTCTCGATCGACTGTTGAAACGCACAGGTTTTGTCGCCCCAGCAGTCACCTCACGCGCGACAGTTTCGATTTCCTTTCGAGCGATTTTTTGTGGTGCTGAGTCTTGAAACGCTTGGGGGTCGTCGTCGTCATGTGCCGGTTTATTTCTCGTCGTCTTCCTCATCGTCATCGACAGAGCTTCAAGAACGTCGTCAAATTGTCTTCAGCGGGTGGCCGTCTCACGACTACAGCAGCAACGGCAGCAATCGTAGCACTTCCCGTAAGCAGTCCCATTAATCGCCTCACGCTTTCACGGTCTCGGTGGTTCCACGGTAGCCGCGGGATGTTTCAGAACACGTTAGGGCTTCTCGAAAGTTCGCTCTGCGGTCAGCTTGGGGAAGCCTTTTTTATTTTCTGTATAGTTCCTGAGTTGTTGGGGAACAGTCACGCTGGGAGACGCCCTTAGGCACCCACCCGAGCCCTTATACCGGGAACATAGCATTCAAAAGGCTTTCACGAGTTACAGCAAGGTCATCCTCTTAGGGAGAATCATCGCCTGACGTGTCCAATCTGAAATACCCAGTACCTACGGATGACATCCTCCTTCCGCCCTCCCCTTCACCTGAACCTATCGTCTCACCGTAGACCCCTTGAACCCAGAAATGAACTAGCATCCATTTCGGGGACGAGAACGCAATCGGCCCTGGTTGGGGCGACCCTGCTGGTGTGTGACGAGAAAGCGAAGCTGCCCCGACCCCACTCAAGAGTGTGTCTCGTGTGTGTGTCACGAATTAGTGTAGTTCATCGTCATCGTTATGGGGTAGAAGCTGCAGCAGCTGCTACTTACAATCGACGACGGTCTCACAACCCCGGCGATACCAAACCTCTTTGCCCGTCGCTCGTCGTATGCCGTCGACACCGCCGTTGGTGCCATCTCGATCTTGTTTCACTCTCGAATGTGCCTAGCTGTGACCTACCCCAACGGCGGCTGCGCAGACTTGTTTCTTCGTCACCCACATCGCCACCTTCACCCCCAACAACCCTCTCAACCCCGTTCGAGTGCCAGGATCGCAACGCTTATGGAGACGATTTTTGGTCACGACCCAATATACCACTGGGTTGGGTTGGGTATTCAAGCTTGATTGGGGCTCCGAGATCTGAACCTGAACCTTTGCCGTGAGAGTTGGTGGAACTGAGAGCCACAGTGGGACCTCTACCTCGTCCTCATCACTCTCCAGTAGCACTCTGATGAAATATTTCTAATCTGAGGGTATTCAGGGCCTTATAAGCTTCCTATATCGAACTTTCCTGTTGTTCTTTCTGTTCCGTCGTAGCTTAGGGAATAACTTTTGAGCTGCTCATATTTTTGTACTCTTACGGCGACCTACTTACGCTATGTCCATTTATTAATGACCTTGTAGCTAGTCTCACACCGGTGCAGCCCAGTCAGCCGACCTCTGCCACTTCTCAGTGTACAGTGTGTGTGGCGGCTTTTGTACGTTTTGACACAGAAAAAACATCCTACCATCGAGTGTGTATTTCAGAGAAAATTTCCCTTTTTCTTATGAAAATGTCTTTTTGAAAACGTCAACGTTCTTCGCATTCCTCTTATTATCTCTACTTTATTGTGACGTCATGATATTCTCTGAAAGCTTACTTCAGAATAATTTTGTGCTGCTAACATTCTGTCGAAGGCCGAGTTCGTGCGTGGTAAGTGGCGCCACTATCCCACAGTCAGATGCCTGATCGATCGCGCACCTGGCTAAGCATCGCAGACTTTTCCATTCCTTACTGGTATATGTAACTGGTGTATAGACGTCGTGGTGAGAGGGATGACAGCCTCTCTATTAACATTGCAGCCCACGAATCTATGTCAGTGCTGAGATCGCATTAATTTCCACATTTGCAAGCTAAGGCGGATTTTGCGGTAGGAGAAAGGTGGAGGGGGCATTTCTCACCTGGACATTTAATGATCCCGTTGATTGCTTCAACCGTTATCCTTCGAACACTTTGATCGATCTGTTCAGCAAGACCTCCTAAACACGTTTACATAGAAGTACTGCTGAAATCCCACAAAGATCGCGGGCTATCCAACTAGAAACAGGGAACAACTGTTGAGGCAAGCCTCTGCAAATACCGCGAAAAGATATAATATTTTTTGGTTGGAAATTGACTAACCCCGAGGCGTTTGAGGCAGGGAATCCAGTAAATTAAGTCACTCTCATTAGTTTCACCGAACTTCTGCCGTTCCAGACTAGTATCTCTAGAGAGACTTCCGACAACCGCTACTTTGAAGAAAAATCAGTAGAGTCCTGCTCTCTAAGGATACCTTGACACCAGAAGACATCGCGCGATAACGCTGGAACACTTCTTAGATACGAATACCTTCTATTATGATATTAAGAGGACTTATGAACCGCATTTCAAGGTGATTTCCAGTTCCGAATTATTCAATCCTATGGTGAAATCCCCCTCATCAAACTTTGATCGTCTGGTACATTCAAGGCTAGAATCAGTAACTTCTTAGGCATCATGAGAATCTAGGTTGATCATGTTGCACGTAAACAACCCACCTTATTTGATCTTTGCATAGCCGATAAGTGATGAGGAGCTTTGATTTGGACAATGAGTCCTTAGTTTCACCTTCTCGACAGGGATTGCCAATAACCAGAGAACAACTCTAATCGCGAGAGCTTCTTGAAGAGATTTCACTTGATCAGCCCAAGATCATTTACGATCTTCTGACGGAAACCATTCTTCGGAAAAAATCCAGTAGAATTCCCGTTTCAAAGTGTGCGCTTCGATTCGTATCGTTGACGGCCCTGCGCCTCCAGGCGGACGTTCGTTAGTCATTTTTCGGTGTGTGAGTGTTCTTATCACTTCGCTTATCACTCGCGCGGCACGAGTTCGGGCTACTAAGCAACAAAATCTGTTTTGAAACACGCTGTTTCAGCTGGGGTTGACTAGCTGGCCTTTAGCGTGCCGTAACCACGCTGCCCTGAGTCGCGCCATGCGCACGACTTACCTCCTGGAGTGATTTACACGGCAGCATTTACCTCGCATTTTGCTTCGTTATACGAATCGGTTTCCATTCCAGTTGCCCACTGCACTACATTTTGAGTGATTGTCGTTCGAAAATTCGCTTGAAAAACCGGGACTTTTCTGGCGTTTGAAAATCAACAAGAACCGTTATAATGTGTGAAACAAAGGCAAACGACCAACGTCGTTGTTCTGTGAGTGGCCGGGTGCCTCTGGCGCGTAAGGTTTCATACTCCTCCTAGTAGCGGACCCCCTCACCTTTATTTCGCTCCTATTCATTACAAAAGTGGGTGCTGTAGTGGCAGGGTACCTTAAGAATCTTAGCTACATTGTTTTTAAGCATTCATCTAGGCTAGTCATTTGGTTAGCGGAATGAGATAACCGTTCAGAGGTGTCGTGATCTGGTTTCAAAAAAGATGTAGAAAAAAATCTTAAAACTGCGGGTTTTTCATAAACTATGCTTTTCATTAATTGCTTTTATCTACCTTCGCTTTCAAATAACGAGAAGAGCGTCGGGTGCAGACCATACACCACAAGTGACGACGGCCTCCACAAAATGTAAATGTTTTTCTGCCAATGAAATGATTAGCCTGTTGCAGTTGTATTCTATCAGTTGTCACTAATTACAACTATCATTTACCAAAAATCAGCTATCACTATGAACCACTACTAACCAGATTTACTTGGAGGCCGTCGTCACTTGTGGTGTATGGTCTGCACCCGACGAAGGTACTGAACAGGAGGGTAGATTAATAAAATGTTGTCAAAGAAATTTGAGAAATTTCCTGTTTCAATATTTCTATTTCAATCACAAGGAACGACCGGCCTTCGTTTTTGACTTATGTTTTCTGTGTTGTTCCTAATAAGTAATGAGGTGTTTGTTGTTGGGATTGCGCCATGCATTCAGTTCGCGCTCTGATCTATTCGACATCTTTGCATCTTCCTCCATGGGAATCCATTTTCTCTGCAAATGTTACCGCTTTCCGGCTGATCTTGATAGTTCATTCCAGTACACGTTTTTTTCTATCGAATGTGTTGCGTAACTTCTACGTTGCTCCGTATCATTGCCTGGTTTTTCGCCGCATTCCACCTCATTTCTCCTCTGGCGCACTTTTTTAGCGACGGGAGCGCGCGCGTGTGAACTCTCTCTCGACTGCACTCTCGTCGCCACACTTTCTCGGGTCTTGTCTCGTCGCAATAGTGGGTGGGGAGGATCGTTGAGAGAGAAAGTCCTAATTGACCCGGTTCGGGTAACGTGTGTACGTGTGCGTGGTGTGTGTGTGCGCGTTCGTCATCATCATCACCATCATCATCAGCATCATCGCTCTCGGCAATATGGTATAACACGTTTCATTTCCCAGGGTAAGGATATACCCAGTGGAGGTAGTTCGCTGGTAACCACTAAAACAGCGAAAGTGATGAGGGTGGGCGAAAGGGGTAGTGATCAACAGCCTGATTTCTGATGTCGCGCCGAAATCACGAGCGCCGCCCGCCCGTTATCGTCGAGCTTTCGGTTTCGACTGACTGAAAGTTGAAATAATGTTGATAAGGGACTGAGAACTATCCAACAAATCAATGGCACATATTTTCAGATCACTCTAAGATGAGTGCCATAATGGAGAGTAAACCGTTCAAATCGGACGGTTTTATCAAACAGGAGCCGTATATCAAGGTGAGGCTCAGACTTACCGTCGTGAGAACTTCTTCATTAGAACTGTTCGATTTCAGGACGAATACGGTAACGGCAATGATCTGATGGCACAACAGATCATGCATTGTCAGCCGAACATGCAACAAACAATGAGCTGGGATAATCTGCCCTTCGGATCTATGAAGGTAGTTTTATGGGCCAGCTAATGAACTTCGAACTGATCTCCACAAAATGATTTTATACCGCCGTCGAAGATACTCCTCGTCAATTGAAGGAAATATTCGAGAGAACTAAACCTTTAGTTGGAAGCATTTCTGACCTCATATTTCGAGCGCCCTTCTCGTAATGTCATTCCTACTCGCAGACTTAATAGTTATTGCACTAGATAATTTTGATATGAGAAGAAATTTTGCATTCGTGCTTGCTTTCATGATTTTTATGTTGGATGATGAGAAGAAATTCTGCATTTCCGAGTCCTTGTCATGATTTTATGGTTACGGCTATTTGCGATCGGTTCCGTTTCCGCCTTCTTTGGATTTTCGACCTCCTCGACGATGGACGCGCTGGCAAATGCGCGGTCGTGTGGGTAAGGTGCGTTGGCCGAAGACTCTGCAGCGGAGTTCTATTTCAAAGGGACGGGAATAGGTACTGAGACTTAGTCCACCTTACAGTGGATGAAAGGGGTACTCGAGCTCAGGAGGGGCGACGCTGACTCAGGTGCACGTCAAGGGCGCTGAAGCCATGCCTTGTACGCTGTCGGCGCTCAGCTCTAAAAATTCAGCATACATTGGCGTTTACACTTTTCTTCGTGTGCGAAGTGCTTCGTGCCTCGCAGCTGCTGTGCCTCTACATATACCACATAATACTCACAAGGAATTTAAGTGTTTTTTTGAAGTGCTTCCGCTTATGTTCCCACCCAATTCATCACGACATTTTTGTCGAATTTTCGAGCAAAATAAAGCACTACTTCGATTCCGACAGTGCCTTTAAGTCACAATGGCGAGTAAAAAGGCTCGGAGGATGATGCGCTCTGGAGATTATATCACTTGCAATCCCCACTTCATTCGCAACGCACCTCGTGAAGATGTTGACATCTCCATGTCTGCGGCTCTTTTAAGTCTACACTATCTCACCGCCTCTTTGTCAGGGATCTTTACTCTCTTTTCGACGGAACCTCGCAATTGTCTCAAATCGATTGGAAAAAAGGGTCCATAATTTTGTTGTTATCAGTGGTTCCTTTTCCCTTTTTCCTTTCTTGCACATCGCCCTAACATTTTCAAATTTGGACCCCTTCAGCCTGTTGTTCAGTAATGTGCCTGTTAGGGTTTTCTACTGAATAAGATCGTAAGAGACTGCATTGGTTCTTGAGTTATGGTCTTACAACCTCATGAAGTATTTCTTTTGAACGAGGGATGGCGGAAAAATCAGAGCATGCATCTAGGTCAGGGAACCGATCCCACGACCCCGTTTTCCCCTATCAACAGCGTTACAGCTCCACCTCATGTTCACACCTCGATTGCATCACATGAAAGAAATCGCGAAGAAAAGCCCACATGACTCCGTTCATAGAGTTGCTTAGCTGAGCTGGGGGGCAGATCTGTGATCAGCGTTTCCAAGGCGCCTAGAGGCCATAACAAACTGAGAGCCTCTTATTGTTAGCTTTTTGTTGCAATGCTTCCTTTCATTTGCCTTTTGCTACGTGATAAACACACAGATGTACCCAGAAATCACTAATGGTATTTTAGTACCAGGTGTCGAAGCAAAGCGCCACACCATATACCGATGCGACAAATTGTAAAAAATCAAGTAATCACATCAAACGACCGATGAATGCGTTCATGGTATGGTCGCAATTGGAACGACGGAAGATCTGCGAGCATCAACCAGACATGCATAACGCAGAGATTAGTAAACAGGTAAGTGACTAGCCTCAGGAAAATGCCAAATGTGGAAACATTTTGGATGAGTTCGAGGGAAACTTTTAGGTGGTGAGTCTCACTGAGGTTATTATGGGATGCGTTATGGATTTTCCTCGCTTCAATCGTGATACACTCACTGGTTTCTCTCGACTAAGTAGAGTTCAAGTTCATCAAATCAACAGAGTTGGGCTCATAATGGAGCAATGGAGTGGGAGGAGAGGGGGAGGGGGGATAATCAACCCTATGGGGATGCCTGCCATTTTTTTTACAAAGTATAGTACCATTGCGAATTTCCAAAAACCAACAGTTCGAGCGCCTGCAGGAAAAAAAGGTTAGCGCTACGTTGTGAAAACTGGGGCCAATATTCCTTCATTTGTCTAAAGTGCCTTAGCAGAGGAAAATGAAGCAACATTAGGAGAATTTGATGGTTCATAGGCATTTTTTCAATTACGAAAGATGAGACTCTCGTAAATGAAATTGAAAAAAAACTTCGTTTCGCTCCTCCCTCGGACGAGCCCTATTATTTCATGTAGGAAGGGGCGTAGGCGGACGTTCAACCATTTTTAAGATATCTACCGTTACGATCCCACAGCGTAAGAAGGTGTGATAGGGTGGAATCGATGCTTGTCAAGGCTCAGCTTCAGGAGGAGTAGGGGTAGGGGTGGTACAACTTCCTTAAGCCAGTTTCAGAATTCTTAAGAGTTGGAGGAAGTAGTGTCAAAGAGGGAAAACGAGGACGAGGAAGTTTGTGCCCAAAAATTCTTCTACTGTTGGACCTGGCCATACGGTCTTAAATTATCGTCATATGATGCTCAAAAAGCCCCACCGGACCATCGCTCACTATGTGACATGGTTCTGTTGTCGTATCCTTAACTGTGCTGCCTACCCATAGACAGGTCAATCCTTTGAGTCAGACAAAGGAGGTCTTATATTTTTGATCTTGGTAAGGGTAGTTGTGTTTCGCAATTTGGCCAATTTTGGGAAAATGCGGGAAATTTCTTCCGCAAAACTGTGGGAGTTTTAAGGAACCATAGAGGATGCTGGAAACCCTGGCAATTTTAACCGTTTCCGCATTTATTAGCCATTTTTGGTTGGAGAAGTATTGAGTCAAGGTGTTCTGCCTGTACCAATCAACCCGGTATGACTGTCGAGACTGTCAACCGCATAGCAGAAGTGCCTCAAGAGGGGTGGGGTGGGGAAGGGTCGTTTGTCTGAAATCGGCCGATATCATCGGGTTTGGCTCTGTTGATGCTCATGGCGCTCTTAGTTGTGAAGGGGACATCAAGTGAGTGAGTGAGCACTTAAGTTCTATTAGGACTGAGCCTTAAGGGGGTAAAGGATCGGGGAGGATGTAGCAATTCTGATTTTCTTCCGGCTTTCCTCTGGCTTCTGGGCTAGTTTCACCTACCAGTGATCTAGTTCGAAGTCCCCCCCCTCCAATACGCCATGAGCGCCTGAATAAGGTATCTTATAATTATCTTGGTTCTATCTTTTTTGCCCATAGAGGACATTCGTTCCCGTCATCCGAAAATGCCTCCCGTAGGTGCGTTTATATTCTGTAGTAATTTCCAAGATGACAAAAACACATCAGACTGTTCGACGACGATCTTCACGTCGTCTAGACAATTGTCTCTCGATGACGGTGGAAAATGTCGCTTTGTCGCTTTTTCTCGGTCACATTTACAATCCATGAAGCTTCTATTCAGATGTTCGAGGACATCTGTCAACTAAAACACCTTCCTTTCTATCGAATTGAACATGCGCAGAAGGCTCTTCATTGCTGCCGTTATCGAAAATCCAGTTAATCACCAAATTTTGCAGCTCGGCTCTCGTTGGAGACAGCTCACTGAAGAGGAGAAGTCGCCCTTTGTTGCCGAAGCTGAACGACTACGCCTCATGCACATGCAGGTACGGATCAACACATGTTATGGTAACTACTGAACGTCCGGTATTTTAGCGGGCTGCATGTATAAAACTGTGATGTATTGCTACTTCCACTTCAGTAAGAAGACGGACTTAACCTCGTAAGGCGATAGCGTTGGTCCTATATTTCCTGTGTTCAAAATTGAGAGAAAATTGAGAGCAATGACCTAAATCCGCTATGTCTCTGCGTGATTTGATTCTCATTTCTTGACCTGCTCTCGACAAGTTGCACTGGGGTGGAGGTTGGAGAGAGCAAGCATCGTATATGTATATAGAATATCGATCGAAAATGGCTCAGTCGACAGTTTTACTGTCTGACCTTGAAAGGCGGTTGATGACAGTAGCCTTTGCTCGTCTCTGAGAAGCTCACACAACGCAGTCAACGGCATTTGTGACGGCAGTGAACTCGTCCGACCACGCCCTTCCGTAGGAAACGTTCTGCGGTTTCCGCAAAAACTTTAGTGCTTAGAGAAAAAATAAGTAGTCAAATAAACAAAATTATAGTAGTGAAGAGTGGTAGGTGAAATTAAATTAACTAGCATAATGAGACGCTGCAATTTTGTAATGGAGCCTTTCAATTAATTATTCACCTTAGCACCACCTTGCTTTGCCATTAACGCTATTTTCATCGCTAGTCCGCTAATAGCTAATTCGCTCAACAGAAGGTTTACGCCTTTTTTCAGTTCTTTCCTTGCTAGCGCTTCCTTGTTTGACAAACGCTTACAGTTTCATTTTGAAGCATCTTGTCCTACTCTCACTTCATTGTGGATGATGCTACCAGGTCCTTTGGCAAATCATTTCGCAAAACAGCTTGCTCATCTGCTTCACATTTTTCAGTTTTTTCTCTGCATAAAACGAAAATTGCATACTGGCTGCTCGCGTAAAATCAATACCCATTCGAAATCACACTGGGTAAACCCGGTGATATGTCCGGCGTGTGTGAACAGACTATAATGTCGAGAAAACGCAATGAGTTGAGTCACTGGAGTTTTCCCATTCTCTTTTCATTTGCTCCAGAAATCAGCCAAATTAATCAAAACCAGGATTAATAGTTATTTTGAAAGTCATTGGAAAATTTTTGTTTCCCATTCTCGCTTTGTGCAACCGCAAAATTACCCTAACTTGATCATCTTCCTAAACTTATTTAGTAAATCATGTTTCCTAACAGCTGTCAACGTGAATAAGCTTTCTTAGTTCCTTTTCTTGCAACAGACGCTTGGTTTCTGCAGTGCTATTTGCCTTAAAGGCAGGGAGTGCGATGGCGGGAAGGTGGTCCCAACCACGTCTCAACGCCATTTCACTAGTGACGCCCAATGACGTCATCAAAACCGTTCCGCCTCTCAGTCGTCGCACCCATTGCATTCAATGCTTATAGGGAAGCTTTGCGATTACACAAGTAATAATAAATTTAATTCGTTTAGGAGTATCCCGATTATAAATACAAGCCACGTAAGAAGCCGAAGAAGAACCCGGATGGTACCATTCAGAATCCGCCACCAACCAACGGACCTGGATCCCCGAGGAGTAAAGGTCTGAAAAAGGTGAGCTTCAGCCAAACTCGCCCTCATTCGCTCGTCATTATGAAAGAACAACTGCTTAGGTTCAAATTCATGGATGCCTGTGGAGGCTTGGCCTCGGCGAGTTCCTCGGCGATTCAAATTGTCTATCGTGATCTATAGAAAGCATTTCTAGGCCACTGCAACATTTGGGCAGTATCGGCATGGCGATCTCCGATCAACAGTATCCGCTTGGGAAATCCGTGAAAATCGATCATGACAGTGTTCGGGTGAATTCGAACATGATGTCGTACATGACCATGGTTCAAGACGACATGAAAGGCTCACCGCATGTGAAACAGGTCAGTGCAGTTTCATAGTAACCCGCTTCTTGACGGGGGGGGGCGAAATGAAAAGACCAGTCAGCTTGCCTCGGGAGGCTTTTTTCGAAGATGGGCTTCCTTTGAGATTCCTCTGGCCCACAAGACCTTAACAAGGCTTTTTACATCTCGCCGATGATCGGCTGGACCTAATTATTGTTGAAGCGTTTCGTAATCGATGAAGTGACCACCCGCTCGGGGGATGACTTCGAGGAAGAGCGAATTGATCGTCGGGACGTCCATGAGAGCTGGCTTCATCCAGTTTCTCTCTTTTGCGCAACGGCGATGATCTTATCGACTCGAGAAGTGCATTGATCGTAGCGGGGAACCGAGCGGTATCGAACGAGCGATGCGCTCGGGTCTTCGGGAAATCCCCGAACGGGGTCTTAAACTGCGTTCCTCAAAGCATCTTCATTGGAGAGCCAGGTTTACCTTATTGATGGAGACTTGCCCAGTTCTTGGCGCCTGGGTACCTCCTCTTGGGATATAAAATAGTTGCTACCTTGAGCATACAGTCGGGCGCTCACCTTAGAGGGCCAAAACAGGACATTCAAAAACTGATGGTAGGTGACACTAGGACTAAGCCCAGGAGAGGGCAGAAACGCCGGGGGAAATGATCCCCCAGAATCCCTTCTTCTCCCTAGGGCTCAGTCCCAAGTTCTGTAAGTGGCTCACTTCAATGTCCCCCTTACCGGCAATCACTATCCTGAGTACAGGTCTTAGCGTTGGTGTCGGTCGATGCCCTCCGAGCCGCGCCGCCCAATCGACATCCATTCAGGATCGCGGAGGTATTTGAACTTCGAAAGAGACATCTGCAATGAAATCTGAGACGAGGTTTTAGCGAACTTAAGGGCACAGTCGTTGCCTGTATGAACTGTTCCGAACCCTGGGAAAAGTCATCAGTTCTAATTTATATCAATCCAGGGCTAAGTTGTGGCAATACGGCTGCTCTGGAGAAATTGGTCTCTCTTGAGACTCCCAATGACCTAAATCTCCTCACTGTACTAGTTCGCTACTACATTGCCTAAACCGCTTCGAAATGAAAAATGATCATATACGTTCCAGGAGCCCCGTCTGTTCCATCCATCGTTTCCGTCGCCGTCGGATTTCGGTCAAGCCCCATTGACGCCCGAATCGGGCTTCTATGACGAGTACTATGGACCAGGTGGCGCCTACTCGAACCAAGCCGCCTCTATAGTCTCCCATATATTTGTCATGCGATGGCTAATTAGACTGAGTAAGCCAATCGATTAACTGGCATTTTCTTTACAATTAGGTACATAATTGATTATGATTTCAGCCGACTATTGAATCTGGAATGATGTCGCAGTTCAACGGTCAACAGGCTTCACAGCAGCAACAACAGCAACAACAACCGCAGCAGCCGTTCTTCGTCCGAACCTCACCACATGCACATACACAACAAGAGCAGGTAGGACTTTTGTTCACGGCGGGTACCCCCCAGGAGGCCCATCGCGCGGCAAGAAGGCCGAGTCGACGGACGAGTCGCGGCGCGTGATGTGCGATGAAGGACGTGCAATGGGACATTCTATTTAATTAACTTCGTATAGCATACATTATACGAAGTTATATACCGCGGCGACTCGTCGCTGACTCGACTTTTTTGCGCGCGATGGGCTCCGGGGGGGGTACCTGTGACGGAAGGGCGAGCGAAAAAAACAGAATTGTTCGGAATCGGACACCATTTGCGTCTTCTGTCACGGGATATTGGTGAAATAATCCATTGAAGAAATTAGTTTGGGTGAAACGGTGCCCCAGTAGCCTAACTTGTGGCGCCCTTGCACGCTAAGCGGGTGGTGCAGGTTCAAGTCCCACTTGAGGCGAAGACTTTGTTCATAACCCAGCATTCTTGTGAAATGTTACCTTCAAAACTTCTCGACCTATTCTCGAAAGAAATGCCAGAACGCATTAGAGGATCTTTAGGAGAAAAGTATTATGAACTCACAATTTCGTTTGCGCGCGGTGCATTGTTCTTTCGTGGAGCGTTAACGCAATCAAAGATATAGCATTCTTTTAGAACATGGGCGCCCGAAGATTTTTGCAGAGGTCAGGGCGGGATGTCAGGGTCAGTCAGTCGCTCCATTGAAATTATGATAGACACCTCAGCTGAGGTTTAAGCTCATCTGACTGCTTCAAGTAGAATTGCGCCATGTACTCGTCCTGCATAGTTCCGACCTGTAGAGGCTCTCGAACTCAATTTGTTGTTATCGGGTGCTGATCCTTTCAGTTATAGGTGAAAGGGTTCCTCGCGTGTATCCAGAGCAAAATCTTGTTCTTATGCTAACGAGCATCCCAAGCTGCTCCACTAGCTTGTTTGCAATTTATGTTTCCAAATGTGTAACCTACTGGGCGGGAAGTGGGTGTAGTGACAAGTGGCGCGCTTACCACGCGAGCGGTCCGGGATCAAATCCTGGGTCGTGAGTCGCCCGGGCCAACCAAGCCTTCCATCCCTCCGGGGTCGGTTAATTGGTACCAGACTTGTCTGGGAGGATAAAAACACTGACTTGAACATCGGCTGGCCCCCGCAAGTCATTGTATAGGCCACATCGCATTCAAATGCCACTGCGAATGTACAAATGGAAGTAGAATGCGTGCCGCATCCCAAAACGGGATTGATCAACGGCAAATGCTTTATGTTTTTATATAAGTACTGCCTCCGAAAAGTCTCATGCTTCTCTTTTCAGGACGATATGCGCTCGTTATCATCTGGCTCATCAGGCTACGGCTCCGTGCAAACAGAATGTGAACCACCCGCATTCCCAGGTTCAGCGGCTCCTCAGCCGCCGCCAGCTGGTGTTGGTACTCAAGGTGCTTCCCAATCACAATTTGGTGCATCTGAAGCCGAACTGCTACCGTCGATCTACGATTTCAATTTTACCGCTGCGGTGAACGCTTCCAATGGTTGGAGTGAAATGTGGCAGAATCACTTTGCGAACGGGCACGCGTTCGATCACATTCCCATCTAGGGACGAGGCGCGCGCACGCGGTCGCCCTAGAGGGGCCTTAGGGCCTTCTGTGCTGTGCCCCATACGGGCGACTGGTGTTGGTCGCCTCGTCGTTGTTCGTCTAGTGATCCTCACAGTGATAAAATCGATCTACGATCTTTTCTGTACAAAGAGCCATTTCTACGAATGCGTGTGTTCGTGCGTTTGTGTCTATCTGTCTATTTCCTTCTTCTCTTTCATTTTTTCTTTATTATTCATTCTCAAAATTGTATTTGCTTTTGCAAAACCCGGTCTGACGTTTGAGAGGCCGTCGTCAACTTTCCATCCAGTCGACGTCGTCATCGCTGCCGGTGTAGATCACTCAGTATTCACTCATGTACTCATCGGTATTATTGTCATCCTCTAGCTGGATTAGCCTTATTTCCTATGACTGGGCATTCGAACTTGAGCCGAGTCACTTTTGAACAAACACTTTATTGAGCCATGCTTTCAAAGAAAGTTCGGGATGTGGTTAGGGCTTAGAAACTGACCTATAACAGAACTTTTCGGGAGCTTTGAGGGTTAGGTGCGGCTTGGGAAGGCGACAACTCCTGCAAATGGAGATAGTGTTGGGGTTTGTAGGCAATTTTTCCCGCGGACCAGAAACCCTACAACCGAGTCTACTCGGATTTTTCACGACTTCAATTTGCTATGTATGGACGGGAAGAGGGAGCCCAAAACAAGCCTGTTTTTGTAAAAAAGTTGGGGATACGAGCTCCACACAGCCCCCCTTTTTTTTCAAGGAGCTCCATACGATTGATTCTAGCACTACATGACACACTCTGGTCCAGCCGTAATCTCTCTAGAACTCCCGTCAAGCGGGTGGGAGGAGAGTGCCAACAAGCCTTTCGGTAACAGTTGACTCACTTCCCTACCTCCTTTGAAGCCACAAATACAGTCCCCCCCCCCCGTTAGCGGATCGCCAACCGACGGTGGACCCACAATGGTAACATGTTCTTGTGTGACCCTCTCTTCTGAGCGGCACACCCAGGGTGTCTAGTCCAGGGGGAAAGGGTTATCCACTATCAGTTCGCAAGCCATATAAGACGAGATCTTTTGTGTATATGGGAACTATCGCTATCGCTAACATAACGGCGGCATTTTGGGTCCAGTGCAATCAAAAACTCCGTGAAACATCTCTTTTTTTGCTGTAATTGCCCGTCCAAAACCTCATCCCGTGGAGAGACTTTAGGAGCGTGAACGATTTCTTTCCCTCGAAGTTCTGCCCTTCCTATGTTACATCACTAATATGCCCCGTAATTTGCCAACCTTTCCACTCCACCGTGCAATCGGATGGGTTACGACCCTGTCCTGAGCCCGCTGAATAGTAACGTTTGAGTGGTAATGATTATCGTCGCGTCTCAGTCTTTTGAATGTCCAGTCATACTCTATCATCGTCTAGACAGTATTTCTCACTAGTAACCAGCCATCCTCCCGTCCACTTTCAGGTCGGCATAATGTTATACTATGTCTTTGTTACTTCAGAAATCCTTCTCAACTACACATATATCGGACCACTTTCCATACAAAAGAACCTCATCACTTTAGATTCATCACCATCCATTCGGAGTCAAGCTTTATTCCGTTTTTGTTTTCTGTTCACTCTCGATTTTTATCCCTTTCAATTTCTGTCGTTGTGTTTCTCTCGTTGTTAGCGTTCCATTGACCATATGTCGTGTGTTCTGCTCGTACTACAATGTGCTGCTGCTGATGCTGACATTTGAGAATCGTAATAATTTTTTCTTAGAATGGTAGATCACATCTGATTATTTTCCTCCGGGCTACTTTGTATTATCACAAATTCATATCCGAAATGTACGCTAAGTTTGAAATAATTATAGATTATAAACAAATAAATGTGAAGATAATTGTAAGTTACTCGCATCCAAAAGTACCTTGCTATCGATTCCTTGTTTATGGGAGCCTCAGGTAAGCTATAAGGCCGGTGTCAGAGTCCGCGATCCGTCGCAGGTTTCGCTGCGATTTGCGCGATTCACGCGATTTTCGCGATTTGCGCGAAACCTGCGACGGATCGCAAAAATTGCAAGTGCCCCATTTGAACATTTGAAACACTGAATATGAAACAAGTGGAGCAGTCGTCATTCAGCCATCACTATCAAGCAGAAGTGGCGGCAGGATTGGAGAACACCTTGCAGTATTGATCGGGCACTTGTGATTTCCGTGACCCGTCGCGTGAATCGCGCAAATCGCGAAATCGCGAAAATCAGCGAAACCTGCGACGGATCGCGGACTCTGACACCAGCCTAAGGCGTAGTTAATCCTCGACCCAGGATCAAACTGATGTGGTTTTTCCACATGGGCATGAAAGTATTGATACGAAATACGGCAGTGAAAAAACAAAAGAAATCTGTCTAAAACGCCCGGGTTAAGGCCTCGCCACCGTCATGATGCGGCTATGCTGGTAAGAAACTGAGGTGGAGAGGCAAGAGTGGGCGAGAGAACGGAGCAGATGAGGAGGCAACAGTCTGTTGCGGACGGAGAAACTGAAGCTAGTTGAAGTTGTCTTTGTAGGGCTCCAGCGCCCTTGTCGGGCCATTCCCATGCCCTTAAATCCCACCGTTGCGACTGTTGTCTAGATCTCCATGTTACGAAATGGAAGGAAATAGTTCACTCGCCTCCTGTCTGGATTAGACCTCTTGAGAGTAAACCCGGAAAGTGAGGGGTTGATGTTCTTAAACAAAATAAGCCAAAATTACCATCTGCAGGAGCTTTCACTACGCGGTTCACTGCCGATGTCGAGTAACTGGCTCATCACATCAGAATCGGGAAAGCTGATAAGCTATGCGAATATGTAATAGAATGGGAAGCTGCGTCAGGGCGAAATGGTGGTCGGTAGTGTAAGTTGTAGCGCTCTTGCCCTCTAAAAAACGATTGGTGCAGGTTCAACTCCGTCTGAAGCAAAAGTTTTGTTCATAACCGACGTTTTTGTAAAACATTTGCAACGCAGTCTACGGAGTTCAATCAGCAGTTGACAAAAAAACCAGAAGCAAACAAAGAATAAAATTATATAAATTATAGCTCAGTGCGGAATGATGTCAGCTTATTGCTGATCTGATCTTTATAGCACCGATGGTACGCTCCAGAAGTATTTGCTCTAAGGAATAATCAACACTAAGCCTAAGGATTTTCTAAACCTTCCAAAATATCCTAAAGTTTTTCATCTGTCCTGAAAATCGTTTCAGCTACAGAAGGTGAGGATACACCCATGATACATAAGTAGGATCTAAAAGCTACGAATCTGCTACGGTCCACCACATCGTTGCACCAAAGCAAGTGCAACGATTTGTAAGAAGTCAAAATAAATCAAAAACATGGTTTCCTCGATGATTTCGCCTCCCCATAACTTGCTGGTCGTTTGGAAAGTCGGTATTTTTATCCTCCAAGGAGATGCGGCGCTTCTTAACTGATTCTGAAGGTGCAATCTTGAATACTATAGTGAGCCTGTACGGAGTTCAATCAGGGATTCGTTCCTCAGACCGTACTCACTGTGAGCGTCCCCAATTGCCCTTATAGCGCTCTCGAAATATACCCTATAATGATACTTAATAATCACAGTGGAGTCATCACTGTGTATCGATTTTTTTTCGAGGAAGCTGATGCCTGACGTATAGAAACACCCACGATTTTGACCGAACGTGTGTCATAATGACCCCAGGAAGCAGCTTACAATCCCTAGTGGATCATCTCTCTATAGCAATACCTGATGAAAACGCCTTCTAACTGGCGAAGACTTTTGCATCGTAGTATAGCCTTCAAATCGTATTCAGCTGCCACTACTGTTCTGGAAAAGATCCGAAAAAAGTGGGGGGGGGGCGTAGCTATCGGCAAAAGAAAGAGTACATATAATGACGAAGCGTTGGTTTATCCACGTTAGCTAAAGAATCCTATTGACGCGGAACGCGCTGCCTTTCTGCGCAAGCGAAGAAGACCTATGTTTCTAACGATGCCTTGCAACTTATGCTTCGCCGCAAATGGTATTATTCTTGGTATTGTAAGAGATGCTTCAATAGATGCTCGTCCTACTCTGGAGAGCAGCATGCTTCAGACCGGGAAAAAACTGACGCTTAATGAAGTGTTTTGTCCTATGTCCGGAACTAGTACACCGCGTGTACCTAGTTGTTTTTCATTCTTCAGAGCTTTATCTTACAGACCTGAGAAGAATCCTCGACTCCCAGTCTTCGAGTGTGCCTATTAGCTTCTTCTTTCCGATTCCGATCACGACACAGGGACCGAATACCAACGTGGGCATCGTCTGTAACCCAAGCCCTGTCGATTCACTTCGGTGAACCATGAATCCTCTCCATCAGAACTGAAGCTAGTTAATTGATTACCAGACTTTTAGTAAAGTAAAACTCTACGCATCTTTGAGAAGGATCGATTGATCACCTGTGCATACTTCGTCTGTGTCCTGCCTGCTTACATCTTTCTATGAAGGCCTTGACTGTTATGCATATCTTCACTGCCAATATTGGTTCTTGATAAAAATGCAGTTGAGCATTTGAACTCAGCATCGCAATGATCCCGCCACAGTGTGTTACCTTCACAGTTTCACGCTATGAGATAAGCGAGATAATCGAGAACTTCTGCGCGCCCAAGACCGGCTAGACCCACCCGATTCGCGCCACGTCGACGACGTCAACGCGAGAGGGTACGAGCGCACGGGGCCTTCGCGGCGATGGCGTCCCGCTGCGCATTTTAGCCGATTACGGTCACCTCGCGAGACACCTGCCTCGTCGCGCCCGACTGGATTCTGACGACTTTTGCCATGGGAGCGGCTGGGAGCGAAATATTATGAAACTTTATAGAATTTTATAGACTGCAAGAACGGAAGGTGAGGGGATTTTCTTGCTGCCAACCTTGAGCAAGGTATAAGAATGTTCTGAATTTGTACTTTTATTGTTTATCAGAAAAAACTCGGTGTGTGTATCGCGATAAAATCAGCGGAGGCCGAAGAGAGAACC